CCTCTTCGCAAAGACGCTTTGAGGGTCATCCCCCACCCACCCCCACTTTTTTATTTTATTTGCTTACTTTTACCATTTACATTGTTATGTATTCATTTATTTTTGTTGTTGGAGCAGGAGGAGGAGGTTGACTCATCTCATTCCCTCGTCCCCCCGCGCGCCGCCCTCATGTCTCTCGTGGGCCACGCAGGGCGCCTGCGAGCCTGTTAGCCGGACCTCACGGACGCTGTCTCCCCAACCCCATGCGGGCGACGACGCCTGTTTTTTCCCTCCCGGCCGGCGCCAAGCCAGAGAATGGCGCCGAAGAGAAGCAGCCGGGCAAGGTCCAGCAAACCAAGCCCGACCGTTCCCACGTACCAACGCATGAACTCCAGATGCGTGCTGTAGAGCGCCGCCCCCTCCTCCAGCAGCATCGAGAAGTAAAAGGCGGAGCAGGCAAAGGAGAAGACCAGATGCGTGACGTAAAGGACGCGCAAGCGTCGGTGCACCATCACTCCGGCGGGGGGGAGCGAGGCACTACGTAAGTCGACGCTGCTCAGTGCGGCCGCCAAGGCGACGGGCGGCAATGAAGACGGGGACGAGGACGACCGGGCGGAGCGTCGGAGACGCAGCCAGCCACACATCTGCAGCAGCACCCCCACTTCACAGCCGAGCACGTACAGGGTCCCACAGGAGGCCAGGTACCCCGTCACCGTCCCCACCCAGAAAAATAAATGATGCAAGTGAAAAATGACAAGTGCAAACAGCAATGCCATATTGAGCGCAACGATAAATAGGCTGCGTTGGTTAATGAGACGGGGAACATACCTGAAAGTTTTTCTTGACTTCCGTTGCCCAGCACCCGGTTCTACACTCGGGTCAAACTCCGTACCCGTCGAGGCATGACTCGGGATGACCCCAGCTTCGCCGTAGGCGCCCGTCGCGTATTTGGCGAAGAAAATGGGAGCTCTTCTGGGGAGAACCTGCTGCCTCGCCGCGGCGCAACGCTCCGCCCACGCGGGGGAGTGACACCCCTCCTCCCCAAACTCCAGAGCAACAGACGCCGGTGCCGGTGCCGCGTACGTGGCGGGGGTTGGGCCCAAAGACCGCGTCGAGGCTGATCGCCGACGCCGCCGTCCGCCGACCATTGAACCAGTGACAACGTACAACATCATGTCCGAACTACAAAGCAGAAATGCATACAAAACCTGCGAGGGACGCAAGAAGTACGTCAGACAATTGGAGATCACGGAGAGCCAATTCACGCCCATCATAATGCGCTGCGTCAGGGGCAGCGAAAACACGCGTACTATGAGATCCTCACCGCCGCGCGCGTCCCCAGCATCGTCGTCGCTGTTGTTGTTGTTGTCGTCGTCGCCGTCGTCGTCGTCATTGTCGTCGTCGTCGGCACGATGGTAGACTTCGGCGCCCTCCGTAGCAGCCCCCGCCGCCTCATCCTCGCGTGGAGGCAGGGAATAGTCGTAACCAGGCGACTGCGGTGCGCCACTGCGGAACTCCACCCCCACGCTGGTGTGGACCTGCGGCGCGGCCCCCATGACAGGCGCTGGTGCGGCTGCTGCCGCCCCCCTAACAGCCGCAGCGGCAAACGGGGGCGTGGAAGAGGGCCGCGGCGGGGAGCTGGGGACCGCCTGGGCGAGGTGGTGTTCCGCCTCTGCTGCGGTGACCCCCAGCGTCGCGTTACCGGCCGTCTGTGTCAGTGTGAAGGCCCTCGCCTTACACGCAATGGACGTCAGGCAACAGAGGAAGATGCCGACATCCGCAGCGCTCATCCGGTCCCGCGCAAAACAAAAACAAAAACAAAAAAACTAATTAATAGTAATGAAAAATAAACAACTAACCTTCTCTGCCACTCCCCTCCGCAGGCTACACTGCGCTATCTATGGCCTGTGTGGGTGGAGGCGCGCCCACCTGCCTCTCCCTCTCTCTCCCTCGCTGTCACCTGCTGCAGGACGCGCCGGACGCGCAGGCGCACAGAAAAGGCGGCGTATCCAGTGGAGGGATGTGCGTGCACCGTCCCGTCACCGCCAGACACGCACACACACACACACACGCACGCACAAAGCTAAAGGGAAGAAACGCGGGTAGCAACAGCAAGCGTACAGATACGGGAAAAATACTCACGCAGGTGCTTCCTCCAGCAACAAGAGAAACATACAGGAATCACTCGGAGCGAAAGTTGCCGCGGCGCATGCTCCCCCCCCCCCAAAAAAAAGGCAGTGAGTCTAAAAAAGATGCATACGAGAATAAATAAATAAAAACAAAATGATGGGGGCGTTTTCACGACACCCCATTTTCGCTGTTATTTATTTAGTTCACCTCCCGCTTCCTCCTTACCGCGCCCGCCTGACACTTCCGCAGGAAACGTGGCGAGGAGGAAGTGGAGTCCTCAAACAAAGAAGCCACCAAAAAGTTCTATATGAAATGTCTATGATGAACTTGCCCACCGCGGACTTAGCGTGCACAGAGGCACTCATCTATAGCCCGCTCTCCATCCTCCTGCAGCGAGGGGGGAAATGGGAGCACGAGCCTCTATGCATGTCTTACATTTTCACCTCCAACTAGCCGCGTCCTCCGCGGATCACTTGGCAAGCGAGCGAGCAAGCGAGGGAGCGAGCACGTGCAAAATGCAAGGACCAAGCAGCAGCAGCACCAACAGCCACGAGAAGCGGCATGTACAGCACGAACAGATAAAGAAGAAAGCCGAAAACAAAGCGAAGGCGCCTGCCAGCATTTAAAAAATAAAACACAAAAAAGCATTACATTTCCTTTGCCGTCGATGCGGAAACCTCTAGTACACCCGAGGATAACATGGAGAGGGGAGGATACTGCAACGCGTGCAGCTGCTCGCAGTACTGCTCAGCATGGGCCAGCTCAACCACTTTTTGCCACACCGTGTCCACCCTGGGCAGAGCTGGGGCAGACGCAGGGAAAATTCCTTCAGCGCTGCCTGCGCTCCACTCCTTCACTTCCTCCCGTTCGCTGGCGTCTTCATGGCCGTCATCACTGCTGCCGCTGGGGCTGCAGCGATGCTGCGACACGAAGTACAGCGGTGGGGCCGCGGGGACTCCGCCACCTGTCGCGGCTGACACATCACTGACGGCATCGCCGAGTTGTGGGAACGGTGATGTATCTGGCCGTGCTTTCGCATCACGCACTGGCCTTGAAGCAAACACAGGTCCAGTGAAGTTCTGTGGCGGCTCCAAAGCTTTGGCACCGGCCAAGGATGCTTTTCTCCCCCTTTTCACAAACAAAAAGGCACTGCTGGTCAGCTTGGCTGACACGCACAACGCCTCTCGCTGCCGGCGCTTCGGCATTTCCGGGGAGTAAGAGAGTCGTCGTTCTAGGGACAGGACGCGCGCAGAGGGGGATGCGGTTACTGCAGCGTCACATGACGGCCGTGTTGTTGTCGCCGTTGACTCCATGCGGGGCTCCGGCGCGGCCGCCTTCGCCCCAGAGCTGACGGCCCCCTCTGGCCCCCCCGGCACCTGAATAAACGGCGACCAGTCACGGCAACACGTGCTATCCGTCGCGCTGCACGCCCGCCGGGTGATGGACGTCATTGTGGAGAAAGACGACGAGGGTTGAAGAGGGCTCTGCGCGTGTGAGTCAGATGAACACGAGGATGCCGCGCGACGTCGCCTTCTTCTCTCGCCGCGACGCAACTCAGCCGCAATGGCGGCGTGAGCGGAGGCCAGCCGCGGCGAGTACGTCTCCGCGGTGTCAGGTGTGACCCCGGCACTTTCCCCGCTTCCCACCGCGGCGCTGGAGTCCGCGGTGGGCGACATTCCCCACTTCGGGGCACATCTGCGCCCCGCGCCGCAGGGAGAGGCAAACACCCCCGCCCGGTCGGCGGAGACAGCACTGTCGTCACTCACACCCTGCCTCGCTGCGGATGCCGTCTCATGCCAGTCTCCTGTCCGCGGCGTGTTGGGGGCCACGCACGACGCCCCTCCGCGGGCGCACTCCTCTACCGTCGCACGGAGAGCCTTTGAAGTGAGCTGGAGCCGCCTAAACGCATCTTCCACCCCGCCCTCGGCGTCACTGTACGTGTGCGTTGCGGCCTCCGCCACGGGTGGGCGGGGCGCCAGTGCCTTGGTCAGCAGCAGCGCGGACTCACAGCGACTCACGCGGCGCTCAATGTCCCCCAGCTTGCGCTGCAGCTGCCGACGCCACAGCCTCATTTGCTGCTCCAAGTTGAGAAACCCCTCCGTGAGGTGGCGCAGCGCCACCTCCGGCCTAACGCCGCGCTCAACTTGGTGCGTGGAGCGTGCCAAATACAACTGCGGCTGCCCTTCACCCCCGATATCCCGCGCCGCGAGGCCATAACTGTCGGCTTCCACCAGTGACATGCGTAAGCCCTCACGGAGCCTCCTTGCAGGGTGGCCGTGGAACTCCCTTATGAGCGTCTATGAAGTTTGCCTTGAGTCGCCGCTGCTGGCTCACGGCCTGACTCTTGGCTGTCTACTTCCCCACTCTCTCTATCTCTTTCTCTCCCTCTCTCTGTGTTTGCCTGTACGCTTGCAACCTCTCGTCTTTGCTGCTACGCAGGCTCCCAGACGGTGGCGGAAGACGCAAAAGTGGAAGTAAAAAATTGTAGAGCGGCAACGCAGTGCGACAAGGCAGGCGGTGCGCGCACTCAAGCCACCCGCAACCACGCGCGCAGGTTTACACGACGGACAGGCACATACTCACACGTACAGCCGCAGTAATAGCCCGAGGGAGAGAGGAAGCAAACAAACGAGCAAATGAATAACAAATATAAGAGACATGTACATATATATTTTTTCTTCTTGTTTTTGTTTCGTTTGTCTTGCCGGACATGTGATGTCGCAATATTCCACTCCAGGAGCCACGCACGTACCGCACGGAAGGGATACAGCAAAAGGAGCTAAAGCAACAACAACAACAGTCAGAGGCGCGCACACACACACAGAGAGAGAGAGACAGCAAGAGAGAGAGAGAGAGAGAGAGGGAACATGTTTCACAATTCAACTATTTACATATTGAGTTCGCATTGGTCGCTCGACCTTACACCTCGGTCTAGCTATCTCACATGATGCGCTTCATCGTTCCTCCTCAACTCCTTTCGTGTCGCACGGCAAACCCGTTCGTTTCCATTTCTCTTTTTGTTTTTGTTTTTTTTCTTCCTTCTTCTGTTTATTATTTACACTTTTTTCTCTCTCGCCCTCGCCTTTTTTTTTATTGCGTTCCCGCTGCTCCTAGTGGCGGCGCTTCTCCCTGCGCTCCCGCCCCCTGTTGCTGCTCCGCGGCTACTTTGGCTTCGTCATCCACGTCGTCTCATCGGGGTACTCGCAGTTGATGTTCGTCGTCGCGTCGTACGGCTTGCACACCTGGTGGGTGGCCCGCGCAGGGTAGCGGATGCCAAAGGTGAAGCCTTTGCCCTTCCGCATGCTATCGGCGATGGTGTCGTTCTCAACCTCGTACGAGGGTCCGCCGTCGGCCCAGCCGTGCAGGTGCCTGCTGCGGCGGTAGTCGCCACGGAAAAACACCGTGCTGCGGGTCGGCTCAGGCGGTTTGACGTCGTAGCACAGCGGACCACCGGCGTTTCGAACCATGAAGCGCTGGCCGAGGCCGAAGCCGGCCACCGCCTTGTATTTGTAGGGCTTCACCGCGTCCAGTTTCGGGTAATACAGGGCAGGCCCCGCATCGGCACTCGCCGCGCTCTCGGCCACGCTCTCCTCCTGGTCTGCAAAGGCGAGGGGGTCGTACGGTTGGGCCGCAAAGCGAAACCCGTTGGACGTCATCGGCGGCTTCCCCAGATTGTACGAGCCGGGGCCAACCGTCGCACTTGTCGCCGGCTTGGGCTCACGAAGGGTGCGCGCCCCCAGTGAGACTCCCTTCTTGTAGTCCCGATCAAACTCCGACGGCAGGAGATAAATACCTGGACCTGGTGCAAAATTGACCGCAGCCCGCACCGTCTTGTTTTCAGGCACGGTCTGGATGGGCGCACGAAACACGGGCGTACATCGTACCCGTTTCCGCATTATTTGACTCACGTCACCGTACTCCGCGGGGCCGGGTCCCGTGAACAAGGTGGACTTGGGCTGGGAATGACGACCGCCAAAGCGTGGACCATCGTACAGGCGCAGTTGTGGGGGTGCAAGACGTGCAGCAATTGTGGTGGGGTCGTCGTAGCTCCCAGGACCTGGCCCATTTTCGTCCGCATGGACCTTTCGCACGGATGTGATGTATTCCTTTAGCTTTGGCATATCATCACCAAAGCGGGGCACTTGATAGGCCCCAGGCCCCGGCACTATGTCACGCGTCGTCAACAGCTTCGTCCGCTGGCCAAAGTGCGGCCCTTTCCCAGCCAGGTCAAAGGAGGAGGGGATGGCGTACTCGCCAGGGCCCACACCGCTACCTAACGGCTTATCTTGTAGTTTGCTGTAGATGGAGAACGCCGGGGTATCGGGGTACAGAGCGAGGCTGTACTGCTTCGGAAGCGGGGGCACGCCGCCTCGCTTGCCTTTCCCAACGGTCTGCCTGCGTTTTGGACTAACGTTTGCCCTTGCGGCTTCAGTCGAGCCCGGGCCACTCGGCGGCCCAAACACGGTTGAACGGCACTGGCCCACGGTGGTTGGAATTTGGTACTCGCCGGGGCCTACGGTGGCCTCGCGCGACCGCGTGGGATATTTCCGCAGTATCGATCTCTCCGGGATGTCGTTCCCGGGCGGGGGGTAACTCATTGGCCCGGGACGGTGGTCGCGCAGCCGCAGGTGCGCCCACGGCGTGAAGCCTCCGAGCAACGCCATCCTTCGCTTTCCTCTCCACGCCGCCCAGCGAAGCACTCACGCACGCACAGGGAGGGTCACGAGCAAGAGAGAGAAGAAAGAAAAAAAGACGAAAGTATAATGCATTTGAAAGAGGAAATACAAAACCAAACAAGATCCAAGAAGAAGGGCGCCAGCGCGCTCTCACACACACAGGCCCTCTCCCCTCCCCACTACGGGCAAAAGAGAGGGGGCCCGTTATTCCCTCCTCTTTTATGTTTTTTTTAAGGATTTAACTCTGCAAAAATAAACAAATAAATAAGAGCTGTCACATCACACTCCATCCACGTGGAACGGGGTTTAGGCGGTGGCCTCGGCGACAGGGGCCTCCTCGGCCTCCTCGACGACGCGCGCCTCGCCCTCAGCCGAGGCCGGAATCTCGCCGTGGGCGTTCAGCAGCGCCTGGGCATCGAACCGGGGCGTGCGGATCACCTTCACCTTGCGGATGCGCAGGTCGCGCAGCGGCACGATGGGGTTGCAGCGCTTCGTCAGGCGGTCGCGCAGGATGTTGCGGGTCAGCAGCGTCACCGCGTCGTTGATGTTCACCTTCGCCAGGCGCTGGCGGATGAGGTTCGTCACGCGGTGGCGCACCCACTTCACCAGGCGCGTCTTGGCGTAGCAGTTCTTCGACAGCTGGTTGCTCTGCTTCTTCGTGAAGGCAATCACGAAGAGGCGCAGGGTGTAGCCGTCGGCCGTCCTCGCCTCCACCGCCGCCTCGAT